AAACAACCTCTGGGCTGATCTAAGTGAAGGCACGGTTAACTCACAGATCAAACCTTGTAAAAAACAACCTCTGGGCTGATCTAAATAAAGGCACGGCTAACTCACAGATCAAACCTAGTAAACAACCTCTGGGCTGATCTAAGTGAAGGCACGGTTAAATCACATATCGAATTGGAATTAAGCGTGTTAGGTTTTGCAGACAGGGACAGCTTTTCAGTTAGCAGACAAGGAAATTACAAATGTTAAAACTACCTAATTCAGTTTTCTTAGTTTTCTAGTGAAAATTTTCCACATAGCAAACTACCACTGTGGCTACACGAAACAGATAGAACTATTAATTTACTCGGAAGGGAAATGGGTTTCGGTAAATTACAGTCTTCCTCAGAACCATTCCCAAGACGGCCCCTCGCGCCCTTACCCCATGAAAACACCTCGTTGTCAGAGGTCACAGCAACAGTAAACGTGTCTCCGCATGCTACCTGGACGACGACGTAGTCACGAAGACTTTCCACAAACTGTGGCACGCGAGCACTACCTTCTCTTACGTACCCGAGTTGCCCGAATGAATTGGACCCGAAGGTGCAGCACTTGCCATCTTTGGTTAGGACTGCGGTATGCGACGTTCCCATGGAAACGGCAGTTATGGTCAAATTGGTTAACGATGCAGCAACAAGGGAAAAAGTCAACGATTCCTCAACAGGACTGGCCTTTAGATCAAGGGCAAGTTTGTTGCATCTGTTGCTTCCACATGCCAGAAGTTTGTTATTCAACGTCAAAAGAACCGAACAATCAATGCCACAGTGTACCGAACGAGCACTGAAATTTTCCGGTAGGGTCACAAGTTGAGGAGATGAATGCTGTTCGTAGGAACCGATACCTAACCTTCCATTGTCTCCACGGCCCCAGGAGAAAACCTCGTTATCAGCAGTAACGACCATGATATGAGAGGGACCACACGAGACTTGTTCTACTTCGTATCCTAGCAACGCCTCGACGATCTTGGCTTGGTTAATGTCGTTAAAATTGCCATGTCCAAGGCAGCCATGCATGCCACTACCATATGTCATCAAGATACCTCGATCTGGATGGGTAGAATATGGGTAAGATAAATAAATACTTATTTCACTTCGTGATATGGGGAGTCGTTGGCAAGTCTTCCTAGCCAAAGGTTATCAAGATACCTCGATCTGGATGGGTAGAAAATGGGTAAGATAAATAAATACTTATTTCACTTCGTGATATGGGGAGTCGTTGGCAAGTCTTCCTAGCCAAAGGTTAATGATCATGTATACAACACACTGCACTACCCCTACATTTTATGTTATATTTAAACAAACTCAAATTCAAACTCTCATGTTGATAGATGATATATCGTTTTAAAACCCAAATAAACGAAGGGAATGCATAATTGAGGAGTTGAAAATGGTTTCATGGCCTGCAAGCAACACTGGATATTCCAATTAACCTCAGTATTCTCAAGAATAATAATAATAAGAAACAGCAGTAGTTACAGCTATTCTTGGATCTTGGAATGACCTACAGCTGTGTCTTCCATCATTTGTTACCCATTGCCTATGATCTTTGACTTCAACAACCTTTTTAAAAATACACATCAGGGCCTGTGTTATATCTCATTATAAGCATGCATCATGCCCCTAACATACTGGATAGAAAAAGAAATGTTAATGGGCATAATGGCCAACCACCATGAGCTTCAGCGATGAAATAAATAGTAGTTATTTTACGCTTTGTGGGCTGTTGCAACAGCCTGGTTGTATGAAGTGTGGATAGCAATATCCAACGGATAAACCCTTATCCAGTGGATAAGTCGATGCTGTCATCCAATAAATTTATCCACTGAATAAGATTTATCTGCCGTCCCAGACTGACCTGTTAAACAAGCAACAAAGAGATCACCACAGGATACTTGTACCATAGTTACACCTGATTGACCAGCAAGAAATCTAGGGATCCAAGTGTTATTATCTGATGATACGAGGCTGTTCTTATTGGCTTCCCATAGGATCATTCGCCCATTTGCTGTCACTCCTGTCTTCATTGTACGGCCAGCTGAGACCTGTTAAAGAAAAAACTTCAGGATTAAATATTATTATAGCAACCGAATGGTAGCTTGCATTCAGCCGTTTTATTATCCTCCAAATTTCGAGGAAATTAAACCGGCTGAACTCAGCCTACCCAATGGCAGCTCTAGAGGGCAATGAAATATATGCCAACACACCCTACCGATGTGTCAAGATTTTTGCAATGTTTTGAACCCTGAAAATAACGACAACTAGACTGATCTAAGTTAGGCATCAACATGAGGGTCAAATTACCATTTTTGTGCAGTCTAGGTTTCTGATTGGCTCCACTACCCAAAGTTGGAATGCATTATTTTCATATTACATTTTAATATGGTTCTCTAGTCTGACTAGTCTAAGACCCCGTCCACACTATGCCGGATAAATTTGAATCCAAATTTTTACACTGAAACTGAAAACTTACCTGAGTTACATCAGAATCATGCTGTGGAAGCTGGAGCTTGGTCGGAGTGGTGATACCTCCTCCCCAGTGGTAGACAACATGTTGGGGCTCTGTGGGCTTTAAGGAAAATGAGCCCAGGTTGTCTGGGAGTCCCTCCAGGATTGCACTTGCCGAGTTAGAGGACGATGTACGAGGTAATTGAGCAGTAACTTTAGTACTACTACCAGAAGACTTGGAGCGAGAAGGTGGGATAGCAGCTAATAGTTAAAGGGATAAAAAAATCAATAAAAATTGAGGTAAAGATCGAAGGAGGATGGAATTTTTGAGGGATAGCAGGACACAACTCACTGTGGTTAGCTGGTCTGGTTTCAACCACAACACTGAACATTTTAGAGCACCAACTTTTTACAGTTTGTTTGTGAACCCCAAACACATCAATGTAATAATTATAGGGGAGTGGGGGAAGGGGCTAGCTACACTTAAATAGGAGGTCACAGGTCTGCTGCTAGGCCTTGAAAGGGGAGGTTCGTTTTTCTACCAATCTTAGTTATGCCATTTTTAGAAAAATTATAATAGTGCTAAATATTATTCGTACTCCTACAAAGGTGGAGAGGGGGGTTCATTTGAACCATGGAACCACCCCTAGCATCGGTCCTGGGTCATAATAAACACATGGTCAAGTAGGTAAATTCATATGCATACCCGAGATGCCTGCAAGTGCATGTGCCCTGGGTATCCGAGTACATGGTACCCTACCAACATCCGTAGGGAGGTCAAAGAGAGCATTAACCACAACTGGTTGGGCCATAATCTCTGGTATTCCAGGTCTTTTAGTAGGGTCCAAGGCCAACATGCTCAGGATCAACTTACGCAGTTCTTGACTATACCTCTCTGGAATTGGAGCAAAGTTCCCTCTTATAATCTTGAGGACTAGAGCTGGTAAATTAGAAGCTTCAAAAGCTCTTTTCAAGGTAGTTAGTTCATACAACACACAGCCTAATGCCCATATATCACTCTTTTGGTTGTATGGCTTTCCTTCACAGAGTTCAGGCGATATATAACAAGGCGACCCAATGACTGTGTTTGCTTTGCTCTTACTGCTCAAAATTTTTGAAATTCCAAAGTCGACTATCTTAACAACTTTCCGTTTTTTATTCAACAATATATTTTGTGTCTTAAGATCTCTGTGGAGAATATTTTCCCTATGGACGTGTTCTAATGCTATTAAAATCTGCACAAAGAGGCGGAGGATTTCATCTTCGTCCAAAAGTTTTCCTCCTCGTTGTTGTAAGTAGTCGAAGATGGTTCCACCTTGCGCGTACTCCATGGCGATCATCAACGCTTTATCCTCCACAAAACTATCAAAATAACGAATAATATTCGGATGCTTGAACCTGGAGAGCACAATTACTTCATTAAGGGCCGATTGACGCTCTTCTTTAGTCATTTCGTCAACAGGAATTTGTTTTATTATCACGAGGTAGTTGTCAACCTTTCGACGACAAAGGTACACCGTTCCATGAGCACCGCGTCCAACTGTGCGGATTTTCTCGTAATTCTCCATCTTTTCCACTCTTATAACCACTCCAAAGTCAAACACATTGGCCTACCACTGGTAAAGAATCGAATTAGCAGTATAAGTCCGGAAATTATTTTAAAAAAGCTGTATCGGAACGTTTTGTCATAACACGTTTGCGTCGATACGGTTACAAGGCACAGGGAGCCCAACCTAACTGTGAATCGACGAATAATAAAAGAAAAATAGTCAAAACTTTGACAATTTTTTAGAGTTGAGAATTCAAGGATGTATTCAAGACTTTTAATTTCTAAATGGTAGTATTTGAAAAATACGAATATTATTTTGGTTTTTATTAGTTTTTAAAGTTTTATAACTTGAGCCTCCTGTGGTTTTAGTACTCATTCTCCTCTCCTTTGTTTTTCTTGTCAACCAAAATGGCGTCGAAAACAAATCTTCTGTTATAAACAAAACGGCTATAAAACCCTACTATTATGAGCGTTCAGGACTCAGAGACTCTCAGACAGCAATTCAAGCTGATACAAGAACAACAGCAGAAAAAACTTCTCGCTAGAAAGCAAAAAAAGCTGAAGAATTCGACCAAAGAGTCGGATGAAACGCCAGTGGTATCCAAGAACAACTGGGAACCTGAAGACGATTTGGATTTGAGGGTAAAAGTCAATAGAAAGATAAATAATATTAAAGGAATCTTGTTTTAAAAAATGTCTTGAATGCTAAATACTGTAGCTCAGGGTCCAAAGTAGCTTGATATTTGTTAAAAAATTAAGCCTTTATTACGTTGTTAGGCAGCTGACTTTGATAAATTTACAAGCCTACTAACAATGAAAAGTTTAAAATGAAAAAATATAATCTAATTGCGCTTTTCTAAAATTATCTTTCTTCCAAATTTAAAAAAAAAATTTTCTTAACTATATATTCTCAAGGTATGTGATAAGCGACTAGGTGGACAGAATGGGAATAATTCGTATAAATGGAAAAAAGAGTTGAGGGAGCTATGTAAATTTATGAGTACAGTAGCATGGGTGAAAACCATACCCTGTTTGGTGGCACGTATCCCTATATAGGGGAGTACCCCTCTTGGGAGCAAATCATGATTTGAGCAGGTTCCACATGGCCTAATGACTCTCAATTTCAAGAGTCTAGCATAACAAAATTGCATAAAGCATTGCTATAATTTGTATATTTCTTTATTGTTTTGACAGCTTGACACAGTTATTACAAATGGAGAAGAACTAAATGTTCACAGTCAACTACAAGAATTACAGCAATCTCTCAGAGTAAGTCTCAAAACTTGATGACATATTACTTTTATATTATGTAAAAAAAGTATATTAAAAAATATACACACTTACAAGACCAGAATGATATAAAACATCCTATGGGTGAAAACATCAAAAACTTACAGTGAACTTCAAGTAATGCTTAATTTTTATTTTACCAATACAGTCAACTCTTGTTACAGCGGACACCCTCATGACCATCACTTGATGTCTGTAATAGTGAGTGTCCGCAATAGCAAGGTGTCCGTAATATCAGGGTGTCTGCAAAGCGAGAGTTGACTGTAATAATCCTAAATAAAAATTTATAAATCACATTAAGATCCTAAAGGATGAAAATGGAAGATTGTACAAGCTTCTTGGTGAAAGAGATGAAGAAATGCGTATTATCAGGAAGCAGAGGGATAACGAAAGAAAGGCTTTAGCAGGTATTTATCAAGTACTAATACAACTGCTGTATTTTCTACTGCAGTTATTTAAGTAATCCCGATAAAGTCCATACAGAAGAGACCCAAATATTTTGTGGTTGCTTATCAAATGTCTCTAGAGGAGTATAATTTTTTGTTCTACTAAAGAATGTTTGAGATTGAAGTGAGTTTGACCAAGAAAATCTGTGTTAAAGTTGAACAAAAATGAGACAGATTCCATGGTCACTAATTTCTATTGTATTTTTCCACATGAATTATTCATAATTTGATAAGTTAAAGTACCATAGTTACTGTAAACACACATACCATTGCAAGTCAGTGGTATTGTTCAAGTTGCACATTCTTTACATCTTTATATTACTTATACAGTAGTCTACAGCAGGTCAGTGGTTAGAGCTTCTGACTAGAGTGTGGAGTGTCATGGGTTCAAATTCCAATTGGAACTATGATTTTTTCTAAGTTCATTTATGGTTGTCTATGATTTCCAAATTGATTTTTGTTTTGTCTTATGTAGGAACAGGAGTTGCTGCAGATACTGCAGCAGGTAAGATAGTTGAGTTATCCAAAAAGAACCGTGAGCTGTCTGCAGATCTTCAGAGTGAGAAAAACAAGGTCAGGCAATTAACAAGAAAGGTTCAGGACCTTGAATCTCAAGTGAGTAGAACTAATGGTAAATGAAATATCAAAATCACAGCATTAGGAGCACACAATACCAGTGTCAATAATATATCACAGGTTCATATTCATTTTATGTACAGTAGTACATTTGTCTTGACAAATATGTCTTTCATTCCTCAGGTAAAATTATTTGAAGCAAGCAATGTGCCACAGACACCTAAGGATGATGGAAATGGTCTTTCTTCTGAGGTACATGCAATCATTTACTCAGTCAAATCACCAGGGCCTGGTTGTATGAAGAGTGGATAGTGCTATCCAGCAGATAAATCTTATCCAGTGGATAAATTTATTGGATGACAGCATTGACTTTCCTCTAGATAAGAATTTATCCATTGGATATTGCTATCCACCCTTCATACAACAGTAACTTAGTTCCAGACCATTAGACAGCCAGATTGAATCATTCCAGATAAGCCATTTTTACTGAAAAAAGCTATGCAATGGCATATGCAATGCATACATAAATCCCAACTGAGTTTTTCAGTTTCAATTTCTAAGGTGCTGATGATTATCTGATGTTTTGTCATTGCAGGAAGCAAAAGCCCTTCAAGAAAAACTCAAAAGTACAACTTCTAAAATGTCAGAATATAGAAATCAGTGTGAGGGGCTGAAGAAAGAACTGAAGGTCACTCATAAGGTACCAATGAATTTGAGTGCACAATTCATGGGTTACCCTCAATAGCACCCTACATGTACAGTACTTATGGATAATACTTTGAAAAAGTTGAGACTTAAAAAAATTATTAAATACTTGGAAGCCACAAGATAAAGTTTACGCTGGCATGAAAATTTTCCTTTGATTTGTTTTCTCCACTTTCTTTGATTATCCTACTTCCTCCAAACCTAATACACCAAATTCCAATTCAAAGCTTGATCTCTGTCTTGATTCGAGGGTTTCTCTCCAGGTTCTACAGTTTTCCTCCCTCCACTAAATCACTAAATTTCAATTTGATCTGTGTGTTAGCCATGCCCTGACTTTGATCAGCTCAGAGGTTGTTTTACAGTTCGATCTGTGTGTTAGCCATGCCCTGACTTTGATCAGCTCAGAGGTTGTTTCAGGGTATTAATAAAACTTGAAGGTTTTTTTATTGAAAATAGAGTCTGTTATAATTTGTATTTGATAGCATTTTATGCACACATATAGGTACTCAGTAAAGAATTAGGAGAACATGTCAATGTAGCCTCACTGCTGAATGATACAAGTGGATGGAGAGGAAGGCAACAACAGATAAACTCTTTGCAAAATAAGGTTAGTAATATTAGTATTGTTGCTTTTTTAACTTAGAGTTTATTTTTGTGATTTTCATTAGTGTCTTTGGGCCCACAGATGCAGACTAGGAAAGGCCAAGTCAGTAGCAAAATTAGTTAAAATTTCACTTGACATAATTTTCAATTTTGTGCACAATGTTTATCATCAGCTGAATTGCAAGTTTTTGATAGAATTCGTCCTAAGCTGACAGCACATGTTGGTCAGCATTTAACCACCATTTGGAACAGATAATAAGATTTGAGGGCTTTCTTTTATTACACTAAATTCTAATTTGATTGATCTATGAGTTAACCTTGCCCTGACTTAGGTTGTTTTAGGGTATCAGGGTAAAATTTTGGGGTTTTTTATCAGCTGTTTGAAACCCAGCATTTCAATTTTGTATTTTGAGACATTGCAATTTTTGATCTGTTGTGGAGGAATATTATCTTAATATTTCATAATTATTATCATCAAAGGTTGCAGAGCTAAAAGGCCAGCTCCAAGAGGTAGCACGCAGTGGATCGACATTATCCAGTAGTTATCTCCTTCGATCTTCCATGGCCACACCCTCCTACTCATCATCACAGTACGATGACAAACACAAATCTGTGCTTAGAAAAATCGAGAAGGAGAAGAAAGATTCTTTAGAAGTAAAAATTTTTATTTAACTGTAGATCTTGTGTTTGGAAGGTGAAAGACTTTGTGAAACTTTTTTTGAGGGTCCTGAGAGAGAGGGGGGGGGCTAATCCCATTTCTCACTCCCCATTTGACCAAATCCATCCCATTCCCTTTTTTAATTTTAGGTTTGTTTGTGAATCCCATTCCCAGTGCATAAAATCCCATTTTCCCAGCCCCAAAAAAGGCGAATCCCAGCTTCCATTTCACACCTTCAGGGCCCTCTTTCGGACTTTGATGACTATGCAACTCAACCCGTGAGCGTAGAATCGCCAGTGCCTAAAAACATGCGCGCGCGTTTTATACCTTTTTCTGTCCAGATTCGAGTGTTCGCGCGCAATATTTCATTGGAAAGTTGGTTTAACATCCTAAGATGTTATACGAATACTTCACATTCATGAGTTTGCTTCCGCCTTGTGGAATACTCAGACAACATAGCGCAAGCGTAACTTATTTATTAATAGATCAAACTGTTATCGTTCCACAGAAAACAAAAGAGGAATTTGACAAACTGAGTGAAGAACACAGCCACGTAAAACAAAAACTGGAGGCATCAAAAGCGAGAAATAAAGTACTGGCGAACGATCTGAAAATGATCAAGTCACAAAACAAGACGCTGTTGGAGAAAGGCGCTCACGACGATGAGCTGGTTGCAGCGCTTATGGTAAAGTGAACGAAACCTCTTGACTAGACTCATTCTAGGTTTTTTCCGTGTTCTCCGATTTTCCTGTACTCCTTCCGCAAAATCCCAAATTTCGATTTAATCTTTGACGTAACACTGCTGCATCAAGATTCAGTAAAATTCAAGTTATTTTGTTGGCCTGTGTTGAGTCATTTATATAAGTAGGGCAGACAAGTGACGAGCTATAATAGACTCTTTGATCTCGCGCGCAATATTTTCCTTTTTCAGACCATTTGCCATTCCTTTGAGTATTATTTCTTTAACGTTGCACCGCACGAGAAGACAAAAGAATATGAATACAACTTAAACAAAATCTTATTCTCATTTAATAGAATTACACATGGTCTGAAATGGGAAACCATTACGAGGACGTTTAAAAAGTTATATGATTTTCCTTGGGCGTAAATATCATTTGATGATGTTATTTAACGTTCTATCTTTACAGAGAGAGCAACAGCAACTCAAAGAAGCCTATAAAAAACCGTCATCTTCCCCACCCCCCCAACCCCAAGTCATTGTCACCCAAGACAACACGATGATCAATCATTTGAGACAAATATGTCAACAACGAGACGAACGCATAAAACAACTGGAACAAGAACTTGAAGACCTCAAACAAACGTTACAAAATGAAATCATGGAGAGAGAGAATCAAGATCACAAGCCCCGTCCACAGACCGTGTCTGTTGGCTGTTGTACCGAAAATCAGCCCACCCTCCCCTCCCATTCATCCAGCGATACGAGCATCAACCGCTTGGTATTGGAGGAGAAAGAAATGCAAAGTTTTAGTAATAATGATGCAGCGCCTGGAACGCCAAACCGAAGAAACGTTCCTCTAAGGAATGGATTAAACAGTCCATCATCTCGGAACGGTAAATCAAGGTATTCGATTCCTCCGACACCTCCGAGTGCGGGTCGACTGAGCAGCGGACGACGGAATAGTGCTAGTAACAGGTGAGCAGGCAGACACGATGCATCACTGCACCGATGTTGCGAGACATGTCACACAATGCAATTTGTTGCACGCAATGTCGCTGGAGTAGAAAACGATGCTACCTCAGCAACACCATTGTCTGCAATATTGCGCGCAATGTTGCACCGTGTGTCCGCATGAATTGCTTTGTTGTGCACATTTGACGACAATTGCCGACAACGTTGCAGAAGTGAACTGGATCGAGATCTAATTTTGCAACGTTGCGCGCAACAAGTTTCAACGTGTGAATACGAACTGCAACATTGCTGTTCTTCCTTGATGTTCTATGTCCAATGAAATGTAACTTTTTCTTTTACCGCTGGCCGAATAGACCTCTTTATTTTAGCTAGGAAATAATGTTTTCCCATTTCAGACCACGTGTTCTTCTCTTAAGAATAAGACTTTTTGTTTGAGTCGTATCCATATTTATTTAAACTTTCTTCTTATGCGCAACCATTGAACAAAGAAATGATACGCTAAGGAATGACACGTGGTCTGAAATGGGAAAACATTACGCTCAAGCTAAAGAGGACTATTGGTTAGCAAACCTTCATAGTGTTGTTGTAGGAAATGTTGCCACATGTAATATTGTGCAACATTGCAAGCAACGGTTGAACCGTTCGTCCGAGCCTTCGATGTATTTTGTCAGCATTAGAGCAATCAAATCTCAACTGAAATAGTAGCCCGTCCACCACTCAGCATTGTCAATACTGCAATGTTCTATTAAAGAGTACAGAGGTATTCTACTCTTGCCTCAAGACTTGCGTCAGCCCTTTTGATCAGGGTTCTAGAGTACAAGAAAGCAGGTTATAATGTATTTCTTGTCTTTTCTATAGTGAGGAGGTTCATGGTTTGAGATGTCAGGTTCAAGAGTTCAAGTCCTTACATCAGGCTGCTGAAGTTGAACGAGATAGACTACTAGAACTTGTATCGCTATTACAAAAACGGTTAGTGCATGTGTTGTCTTGCATACTAGTACAGCATTTCTTAAATTGCGAGAGAGACGAATTTAAACTACCCCATCTCAACCTACTAAGTTCCTTCTGGCGTAAAACTATTTATTGTTAGAGTAAGCTGCATATCAGCCTTAATATTGTATTATTTGTTTGCTTGACATACGGCAAAGGCTTTAACTGCAGGGGCGAATCCAGGATTTTTTCTAGGAGGGGGTGCACCGTCCTGGATTTTTGTCTTAGGAGGGGGCGCATCCTTTGCTTACATTCTTAAACACCAATAATGCAGTGGATAACAGCTCATATAGGGGGAGGTGCGCCACCCCTGCACCCCTCAATTAGATCCGCCCCTTGACCTGTAATGTTTTATTATTGAGTGGGATACCTGTGTTGAAGGTTTGCGCACTGCATAAACTAGGACAACTGGATCAAGGAGATGTTACGATGTTCCGTCCTTAACGCCGCACTAAGTTGAACTGGAAAACGTGATCGATTTACTGTTAGTGGTTTTGATTATGAAAAAAAGCAAGGAAGAGTTGGAGCCAATCATGTTTTTTGTTACTGAATATTTGACAGGATTAACGAGGAAAGTTCAAAATGCTTAGACGTGACAACAAAGTTTCAAGAACAACGAAGAATGAATGCTCATATGGAGAAACAATTAGGGAGAGTACAGTCTACCACAAAGATACAAAATACGGCTAAGAACAAAGTTAGGGGTTCGTCATCGCAGAAATTTACTGATGATTCCGAAGAATTAGAAGAAACAAAAACTTGGTAAGAAACGATTTATGTGAAGTAACATGAATTGCGGTCTGAAAATAAGGGAATGGAAGCGAAAAGTTTTTGAAAAGAAATGGAAAAAACGCTACAAGAGTGGATTTATTGTGTATAACAGAACAGTCTTTGCTCGGAAAAAAGAGAATGAAAAGAAAGGAATTGGGAACGCGGGGAAAAAGGAACAATTGAAGGCCAAGGAAGGAAAGAAAAGGAAGAAAAAATGAAAGAAGAAAAGAAAGGGAAAGAGCTTGAAGGAAGGAAATGTCAAAAGGAAAAGAAAGCGAAGGAATTGAAGAAAAGCAAGAAGAAAGTAAATGACCGGGGAAAAAGGAAGACTTGTTTTTTCAAAGAAGCATTTTTTACAGTGTCACGTGCCCAACTGTGGCCACCCAACTTATTTTTTACTACGTAGTTAGCCAATCAGACAGCGAGAATTTGTGCATTTGCACGTGAAATCACTCAGCATGACCGCAATATTTAAAATTATTTCGTACTCTTTGCAACAAAAACTTAAATAAATGGCTAGGAATTTGCCTAGGTGATTACTATTTTGGTCCCTTCGCTGGCTAACACTGCACACTAAAAAGTCTTTAAATTGATAGAAACAATTGGAGGAAAGGATTTAATTGCATTTATTGAAAAAAATAAGATGGGTTGCTGGCCATGGTTATGCGCGTCGCTCTGTAAATACACAGTAGTCGTAAAATTCAAAATTTGGTTTCATTCACAGGCTTGAGATTCAAAAGGACGAAAACGATGATCTCAAAGAAGCTTTAAATTCCACTCTGAAAGCAAAAGAAGAAGATCTCAAATACTACCAAGACATGATGGAACAAACCAAGAAAATATTCCTCCAGGGTCTGCGTCAGTTTAGACAAGGCTCAGCCCCCAGCTGACATCCACCGCGGCTAATTACAGCGATAAACTACAAATCTTAAGTAATCCCTAATAGTTAATTACCCTGAAAGTGGGTTTTTTGATATTTATTGGTCTGCTCAAGGATTTGGGGCGCCATGTATGTGGGGTTATCTCATAAGCTTTCTTAATTGACGAGACGGCGTCCACTTATAAAGTCGTTGAGGTAATTTCTGCGGAGTAAACTTGTAAAATAATAATGTCATATAGAAGTGTCGTCTGTTTCGTGGGCTTATTTTGTACAATTTTAAAAATGTTTTCACGATCAGTTTCTATGCACAGAAGACTTGGTATAGATGCTATGATTTAGAGTGTATGCAATAAAGTGGTTTTCCCTACGGTATGTTACCGTATCTCTAACTACGCGTTGTGATTGGATGAATTACTGGAAGACAATGGGAAGCCATTTCGATGTTAGAGCAGTTTTCGCATGACTGTGAAAAGCCCAGTGTCGTAAGCGTGCCGTGCCTGGACCGTGATGTTTTCTAGAATTTTAATTGGCTGATTTTTTTCTCGCGCAATGTGATTGTTCTGACAGTGCCGTGACCTTTCGTGACGAATTTCGTGACCGTGTCCCCGTCGTGTTGATGCCGTGTTCCGGGTATTCGATTGGAATGGAGAATAAATTCTCGATTGACTGACTCGAGTGATTGGACTGGTATACGCCTTGCCGTGTCACGACCGTGTTCTTGCCATGAGCTTTTCACAGTCATACGAAAACTGCTCTACAGCCATTCGTGCCGTGTACTTGCTGTTTCTTATTTATTTTTTGAGGACCAGCCATTTTTTAATGGTTGTCTCTAAGGCAGGCAGTTAAACACAGCTATAAATGTTTATCATATAAAAGCATAAAAGAGAGATATATCAGTTGCAATTGATATACCTAATATAAGTATATCTGTTTAGAAATCCTTCGAAAGGTTTGTTTGGAGTTTGTTTCAACAAAAGGTGAATTAAAATATTCGTATCTTGAACTTAAACGTTTTGTACAGTTCTCGTTGCATGGAATTGAGGCTGGGAGGGCTGAAACAATAACAGTTTTTTATCCGCTTGTCTGATTTTGATCAGTCTGTCCTCTGCATACCTTTGTTCCGTCTAACAAAAAAAAATTCCCAAACTCAGCCCAGATGTTGCAGGTCGATTTTGGATGTGTTTTGTAATTGAACTTCCTGCCCCCTTGTGTCACAAACTGTGAATCATGATGATTTCTGGTGGTGATGATTGATTGGTGATCATAAGTGAAGTTTGTTTACTAGTTTGAGTCGAAACCCTTTGCTTGTTGGCAAACCAAAAAAAAAATTTTTTTTTTCAGTTTCCTTTTTTTTTTTTTTTTTTGTTGCCGTTGACCTTTCTGCTCCCTCTCAGTGTTGCAGAAAAAATGTAGGATTCGTTGGTGAAGTTTGTTCATTGGCTTGTGTCGATGCTCTTTGCTTGTTTTGAGTGTGTCTTGTTGGTGAACTTCCCCAGTAACGACTCTTATGGATGATTCATTGGTGTGTTTTGTTCACTGACTTCTTGTGTCAATGCTCTTTGCTTCTTTTTGGTGAACAAGACAAACTCTGTTGAATATGGATAAAAAATAGAAATCCAGTCAGGACACTGTGGTATTAGGTAACCTGAGTCAGTTTTTTTCAGACCGCAATAGCTCTTGCTGAGCCAAGGAGTCAAGCAGTTCAAGCATCGGTCGCCAAACCCTTCATTCCAGTAGCAATGAGATAAAGAAAGGCCCCATAGTCGGGTCTAAGAGGAGGTAGAGGTAAGCTAACTCTTGTTTTTGGTGTCCTGGGGGCTTGAAGGAAGACAAAATAGACTCGTACATATTCGTAGCACCAGGGTCACCCTACTGCAATTTAGACGCTCGGAAAGAAGCATTACATCTAAAGAAATAAGGGTGACCCTATTGGTAGGGGAATTCTTGTTTTAGGTGTCTCCTGGGGAAGGAAAACAAAATAGACTCGTCCGTAGCACCGGGGTCACTCTAAAGAAACTGTACAAATATAAAAATATAAAAATTGGGATTTCAATTCGCATAAGGGTAACACCACTTTTGCACATCATGGCATAAGTGTAACACCATTTTTTCACATCATCAAAGACAAACCCGCAAAATGCGCCCAAGGGAAAAATGCAAACGTGATTTTTCCTATAGTACGAAGAATATAACTTGCCTGTAAAAAATCTGGGAAGAGTAAACATTTTTCCAAACAACTGTGCGTAGCCTTTTCTATATTCTTCGATAAAGACAGCGTAGATAATAGGGTCCAGAAACTGGTTTCCAAATGTTCCTACCAAAGCGAACTCTGAGAAACGTCCACTGAACATGTGGTCGGACATTAGGCTTCCCATGGCGACCTAAAACAAGATAAACTGGATTGATTTTTCGTTTCTTTAATCTGTTCTGCCGGAAGTAAGAATACCATTTGAGTGCTAAACAATGTGTGAGCAAACAAGATAAATTGGATTTATTTTTCGTTTCTCTGTTCTGTTCTGTTCTGTTCTTTTTTTTTTTTTTTTTCATGTTGGGGAGTTCGATCTCAAGGTTTCTGTAGTGGGAGGGAAACCCGTTGCCAAACAGCCGGAAGTCAGAAAACCATTTGAGTGCTAAACAGTATGAGCAAACTTTTCATAACAATAACTACATTGTTTGGAGCAAAAGTTAAAGAAGTTAAATGTGTAGAACAGTGGCTTAATTGAGCGAAATGAGAGTGCATCTAATGGACCGAAACTAAGCCAAAAATCCATTTTTCCTGGCTTAAAACAATGATGGGAAGATTCAACCAGGAAATGACGCAGTTCATCTGCAATTTAATCGTATAGAACAATCTAATTTCTTGGTTTGAATTTATAATTTTAAGATTTGGTATTTGATTTTGTTGTGTTGGTAGATGTTTGATTTTGTTATATACAGGGTGCAAATCCACGGCATTTAATAGAAGCACAAAAAATGGAGGCAAAGGTGTCAATGCAATGTTGAAAGATTAAAGCAATAAGGCTAAATTGTTCAATTAATAGCCACGAGTGTCAAAAGCTTGTGAGTTAGTTTTTTTGCAATCCATTAAATAAACACAACACACTCACCATTAATGGAATCCAAGTAGCAAAGTACACAATCCCAGTAAAAAAGGTCATCTTAGCGTAACTATTTGTGATGCCATGGGCATTTTTCGCCAGATGAATGCTGCCATTTGATCCATCTTCGCTTCGGTTTACGACCTGAATGTCTAACTCTTGAGCTTGTTTAAGATTTTTGTTCCAGAAGCATCGACTAAAACAGCTCAAAACACTGTGTACGAGATGTAAGATAAGACAGGCAGCCGAGCTCATGAGAACAGCGAATAAAAATGTGTATTCCTTGCCTTTTAGAGGAAGGCTTATCTGTTCTAGTTGACATAGTTGAACTTCACCATACCGCTTGCTCATATATCGTGTTGAATTTGAAGCGCTAGGTTTACCTTTAGGCCCAAGTCCAAGATATGGTAGCGAAGATATCACAAATGCTACCAGCGCTATTCCAATAACCAGATTAGCAATAACAACTGAAGATCTTTTTTGTATATTGATTCGACTTTCTCTTGATGTTGGCCTGTTGCTCGAAAAGAATGAGTTGGAAAGGCGATCTCCAATGCTCAAACCATCTCGGTATTGCCCCTTGACATTTAGAGCTAAATATGATGAGTAATTCATGACTGTAACGAGGAACATCGCCGAGAGCTTCAACCAAATGAACATCAAAAAGAACATTTCACAAACCCACGGTCTTGGTTCACTCTTGAATAAAACCTCGGACTTGACAGAAACGCACTCGTCTTGAACAGATAAGTATATTGGTAACGGGACCAGGAGAGTAAGTAAATCGATGATACATAGCGCTGCTATTAAAATATCTCGTCCTGCGCTAGGTCTCTGTTGAAAATTAAAGACGACACACAGAGGAAAGACATTAAGAATCAAACCCCCTGCTCCAGCGAATATTAGGTATAAGTTAACGGGATTAACAAACTGACAGTGTTCGGCGACGTGCTCCATGACCGATGAATTGGTAGGTTGTGTTTCACTCATGATGAAAATTCCTGCTTCAACTTCAATGTTTACTTTCAAAATGATCCTTGGCGCTATTCCCTAGAGTTTTGTCGGATCTGTTATCGAAAGAAAAACAAAAAGGAACGTCTTGTGTGACCTTTGGGATGAAGTATAAGAGAGGCGACTTCCTGTTGGCGGCCCTCGAGGGAATAAACTAAACAAGAGACTATTTATTTGCGACCCTTTACCAGCCAGATTTGCTGAGATTTGCATAGATATATTTGCTTTTGTCTTGATATCTTCTCAAGGGATAAGGTCTTGGAAAATATTTGCTATCGTATTACATTTTAAAGCAATCTTAATATGTTTTTTCAAATAGCACTCGAAATGGATTTATAGGTATTAAAATGCCGCAAAAGGGACTAGAAAAAAGAGGCTTAAAATAGCAACATAATATTTATATAATTCATTCCTAGGCTGTCATTCTGTATTTTTATCTTGGTTCATCTGATTGAGATGTAATGGGATCCTGGTGTCATGATAGCACGCGAGTTCCTGCATTCTCGACTTTCACATCCCCATAATGCCTTG